CTAGGACAGAGCAGAAGCTTTGGGAAATAATGCATGGAGAAACTTCCTGCCCCATCTTTGCTTTTGAGAGCGGAGGCAAGGAACTTCAGGAAAGCTGCACTGGGAGTTTTCACACTGGAGTGTGAGGAGTGACTGCTCCTGGCACAAGCATCAAACAGGGCACCTTTGAATGATGGATGGGTTTGGGAGGTATCTATCACCACAGTTTTCCTCCAGTTGAGGAGGTTTACACTCCAGACCAGAAGGTTGGCCTGAGCTGTGGTAGGGACCTGGAGTGGGAAGAAGAATCATCCCAAATCTCTCTGGAAGTGGACGATGTGGGGAGGCCAGGAAAAAAATTAGTCTTGTGCCATACATACGCAGAAAGCACAAAAATGCCTATGGCTCACAGTATGGAGATCTGTAGAGCCTGAGGACTGAACATACCTGGCTGATGCTAGTCTCAGCGTAGTCCTGGCAATGTTCTTTAGGAACTGGACAATTCTGCAAAGATTTTGTGAATAGAGAGGGAATTTTGTCTTAATTCCAAGAAAATTTAATTGCATTGGTCTGCCTTGCATTATTTGTCCTTGTTGTTTTTGTCTGTCTGAATGTGTGATAGGGAATGTTCCTACTCACGCTACCTAGTTTTATTAATAGTACAGAATGAAAGGAAGGATTCTGATAGACATAAGATGAAATCTTCATTTAGCGGCTGTGTATTCATTCTATCTGTGGTAAACACATGTATTTTATGGTGTCTTTCACTCATCTTTAAGTGATTTTGTTAACACACTTCAATCTTCTGCTGCAGCAAAGCCAGACCTGATTAGAACAGCTTAATCCCATACATGCATTTTCTTAGCCTATGGGACACCTGGAACCAAACCAAGTCCTGAAAGAGAACTAGAGCTTCTTTATAACCTAGTATAGTGTTGCCCACCTGACCTCCTGCAGTGTCAGCAAAAGGGGACAATACAGCTCACAGTGGAGTATGTGACCCCCTATCATAAACATCCAAGATAAATGAGATGTTATGGGTCTGTTAGGCCTAACCTCACATGCTTACAGGAAGCTGAGGAAAAGGACTTACCTAAGGAGAGCATATCTCTGCTGAGAACCCTTGTGAGGGAAGATGGACCCACTGGTCTGGGTCCCTGCAAGGCAGCCTAGCTGTGTCCAAGCAGACCTGAGTGCCAGAGCTCTCCTGGCAGCTTCTGAGCCATGTGGAAGACAGTAAGTTTGTTCTATCTGGCCTTGTTTATGGTCCACTGGGGCTCTGTTTGCTGATGGGATTGCTTGTGTCAGTAAAGCTCTGTTTGCTTTGCCCTGTAGAAGAGTCCATCTAGTATGTTGTCACGAACCAGGAAGCGGTGGGATTTCAGGACTAATGTGGTACATATCCAATGCATTTTACCTTTCGTCAGTAAGGAAAGGAGCTGACTCAGTGCCAAAAGGCACAAAGCAGTCAGGTAATCACAGAAACACCAGTTAGTCACATAAGCCTTGCTATTCCTATGCTACCAATATTTTGGACTTTCTCATTCCCAGCTACGCGATCTGAGCCTCAACCCTGGTATCTGGAGGACTTGCCCTTGAATGGGCACACCAGCCCTCCGCCCACAGCTATGTCACCTGTTCAGCTCTTGATCAACACTTCTGCTTCAAGGAAATGAGAATTCACCCAGATGTAAGCCAACTCTATTCTAATTGCGTCACTAGATTCAGTACAACAAAAGCAGCAGGTTTTTTCCTTGTACTCACATTTATTTCCAGCAGACCATCACTAATCTCCTAAAAACCAGATGGTTATGATAGTTCCTGCTCAGGGTGGTTTTTGACCGTGGATTCTGAGAACAAGGAGTACCTGTATGGCAGCTACAGGGCAGTCTCAGTGTCTCACAACCCAGCTCATCTTTGACATGAATCTAGGTACCCTTTGGTGGTATAAAAACCTGATAGCAGTGTTGCTCCCTAATCTAGCATTCGAGTCTTGTCTCCAAAGCACAGACACGCTAGGGTTTCCCAGCAGGAAAAAAGTGCAAGAGAATCATGAACATTATTAAATGCAATTATTTCACTGAGAAGTCTAAATATTCACTGCAGTGGGAGCTAGAATGAGTGCAAACTCTCAAGAGGGAAAGGAGCATGAAGACCACCATGGGCTATGTACTGCCGAGTCATGTGACTCATCCTCTAAATATTACCCACCCATCCAACAT